ACACTGAGAACAGTATGAGGAATACTGTGAGATACACTGAGAACACTATGACGAATACTGTGGGATACACTGAGAACACTATGAGGAATACTGTGAGATACACTGAGAACACTGTGGGGAATACTGTGGGATACACTGAGAACACTATGAGAAATACTGTGGGATACACTGAGAACACTATGAGGAATACTGTGGGATACACTGAGAACACTATGGGGAATACTGTGGGATACACTGAGAACACTACAGCTTCCACGAGATTTCTCTCATTACGAGGAGGTTGTAAGGGTACAGTGGGGGTAAGGGGGAGAGATAAGTGGGATTGGGATCTGTGATATGGAATCATGATTGGTTCACAAAGAACCAATGAAAAGCTAAGCCAAATCTCAAACCAAATGAAGCTAAACCAAGCCAAACCAAACCGAACACAAAGAAACCCAAGCCAGTACAAAGAAAATGAGGTAAGACACTGAGAGACTTTTGCAAAAAGGCATATCTTCACGCAGTCTTTCGCTGCCAATGACATAACAAAATCACTCTTTTTTTGTACAGTCATTCAGCAAATGAAAGCACAGTTTAAGCCTAATTATCTTGTTGTTAGCTGCTTTAATTCTTAATTTCACGATGCTAATATTTTCTTGAAATAAGACTAGAGGTAAAACCAATTAAAATCCCAATTTAAAAAGAGCATAATATCACACAATGATAAAATTCAACCCAACCCAACCCAACCCAACCCAACCCAGCCCAGCCCAGCCCAGCCCAACCCAACCCACCACCACCAAACCATAGTAGGAAAGGCGATGTGTGGCGGTGCATGGCTTTGATTCCAGAACTTCCAGCACTTCTGAGGCAGGTGAATCTTTGTGAGTCTGAGGCCAGCCTGGTCTACATAGCAAGTTTCTGAAGAGCCAGAGCTATAAAGTGGGACCCTGTCTTGAAAAAAATAAAAACAGGTATACACAACTATATCTAGCAAACTTGTTTGAAACTACTTTGTTGGTTAGCATACAAAGTGATTTTTTGTGCGTGCATTCCTCCCTCTGTGTGGGTATATGTGTATCTGTGTATCCCTGTCACTCTGGAAACCAGAGGGACATATAGGGTGTCCTGCCCTGTCACTCTGCCTTGTTTCTTTGAAGCAGGGTCTCTCCCTGAACCTGAAGCTCATGTTTCAGTTAGGTGGGCTGAATAGTGAGTGCTCAGGTTATGCTTGTCTCTGCATCCTAACACTGGGGTCATAGACATCATAGTCTTACCCAACGTGATGGGTTTTGTTTTGGCATCTTCATACACAGAACATTATACCTTATCTTAGTCATCTTCCTCCACCGCCCCTTCCATTTCTCCCACCCCCCTCTTGCTAGTCCCCTTCTTCCTCCCAGTAACTCTCACATGAGTTTCATTATCTTCTATTTTTTTCCTCCCTCTGTTCCCATTCCCCTCCATCCTCTTAAAATCCCTTCTTTGTCTCTCATTTATCTACATTTAAAAGATATTTTGAGAAAATGATTATTTCTCTTTGGGCTCCTAAGGCCTGATTGGTGGAGTGAGGAAGAGGTTGTAGAGGTAGGGAGTGCAAGCCATGGTCCAAGTGTGTGCCAGGATTCAGTAGAAAGAAAACAGGGAGCAATATCAGCAAAGACAAGCACATGAGAGAGGCCTCAACACACCAATGTTTTAAGGGAAGTGATAGGGGAGGGAAGCTCTGTTTAGGGAAACTAGAAAACACAGGCCAGACTGGAAGGTTTGACTTCAGTTTGGGATATGGTTGTTTCACTCTCTGAGGGATGCACATTTGCTCTGAAGGTAATGGATGCTAGCCATGGTAATGACCACACCTCCCATTCCTTTGTCCTTTTTCACGGGGCCTAAAGCATCCCTCTCCCCCGTCCTACCTCTACCCACATTCCTGTAGGAAGTACTCAGTATTAGATCAGCTCAGGATGCCTTTACTGGCTGTATAAGAAGACAGACACAAATTAGTATGTTTGGTCTGTGTCGCCAGGTGAAGCCCTCCATCATGTTATGACACAGCCAGAAGGTCCTTACAACACATTGTGCTAGAACTGTGTTCTTGGACTTCTAGCTCTGGAACTGTGAGACGAACCTGCATTCCTTTTAATTCACTTAATCTGACTTATCTGTTGCATCAACAGAAAGTGTACTAAATTATTAAGCATGACGTTGTCTAGAAAGTGCCTCCCTCCCTGGCCCCTGTAGTTTATCCTCCATGGCTTGCCGTGCTCAGTCTCATCACATGTAATGTGTCTAACTATTTATTTTTTTTTATTTTAGGCTATTTATTTTGTCTGCCAGTTCTCTCTCTCTCTCTCTCTCTCTCTCTCTCTCTCTCTCTCTCTCTCTTTCTGGAGCTGAGGACCAAACAGTGCTCTACCATTAAGCTAAATTCCCAACCCACATTGATATTTATTGAATGAGTGGTCAAAGTTTTTAGAATGACCAAACATCCCAATTTTTCTGGAAGTTTTGGTTTTGACACTGAATGTTCAACATCTGAGAAAATCTATCAGTTCTAAGCAACCCAATTGGAAAGGCACTCTAAAGTAATACTCAAACCTCTTTCGATGAGCAAATAAAAGAATAGCAATAGGTCAAACATCAAACTAGAAGGCCCTCAAATTTTCCTGTGTGTGTGAGCATAGCCCCTTAGGGTAATGCAATACGTCAGTTCCTACACTCTTCAACCTTCATTGAACTGAGAATGCAGTAGACAAAATATGATCTGGCTAGATTCTTGTCTGTTAGCAGTTCGGCTTTTGGTGTGTGTGTGTGTGTGTGTACTCTTACACACAAATGAGTATCTGTACTTGCAGAGGCCAGAAGCCTGATTTCTCTGTTGCAGCTGCCCAACCTAGGTGCTAGGAACTAAATTCTAGTCCTCTGAAAGAATAGCTAGATAGAGCTCTTAACTGTTGAGGCCTGGATTGGGTCGTAACATTCTATAACAGCTCAAGTGTGGTAGGCACGTTATTCAGTGCAACACTGCTCAGGGTTGGGACCTTTGGAGGTGATTGGATCACGAGGGCTCTGACTTCATGAATAGATTAATTCATTTATAGCCTCATGGATTAATGGTTTTGGGAGTTGGGGAGGGACTTGGTTATAAAAGCAAGTTCTCTTTTCTCCTTGGAGGCTGGGAGCTTTATTTTTTCTTCTGCCACTTCCAGGATGCTCTCCTCCACTAAAGGCCTGGAAACAACAGGGACGTGTGACTGAAGCTCAGCAGCAGCCATGGGTCCTTCTTGGGTTGAGGAGTTTTGTCATGGTGATGGAAAGCTAACTGTCACATCATCTTAGTCCTGCCCTGCATCATCAAAGGAAAAACAGCTTAACCTTCTCAGCCAGGGTGCCCAGTCTGAAAAATGGAAGAAGAGGATTTCTGTCCTACATTCCCAATTCCATTCTAGATCATAGAAGTTGGCTTATTACATATTATCAATGCCCTGGAAAAAGTAGGACTTAATTGTTTTAATTTGTGGAGAAACCTATAGACTATATTCAAGAATGATGTTATGTGACACTATGTTTGTTTGTTTGTTTCCTTGTTAACCAGCAAAACTGGCTAAAAGACAGAAGCCAGGGAAAGGAAGTTATCCAAAGATAAGATTTGTGTTATCTCAATTCAGAAAATGAGGAAGAAGCACTGCAGGGGAAGAACATTCTTATTTTTTTCCCAAGATGGACAAAGGTCGAGAACTCTAAGATCTCACTGTGGAAATCAGACAGAAAAAAAGATACGTTCGAGGCTCTGATACATGGTCATCGCTGACTCTGCTTTTCAGGGTTAGGTGGAGCTCTCTGTCATACTTCGGAAGACAAGTGCTCTATAAATAAATTGACTTGGAACAGTCTCAAATACACATAAACCACAATGGCTTTAAATGTAACCCTTGACTTTTCTTTCTCTTCTCGAGAGGTCAGCAAGGAAGATTATGCAAGAGAGGCTTTACCAAAATCCAACTGAAGAAACCTGGAAGAACCTTCCAATATCCTCTATTTTTTAAAAAATTATTTCTACATATTTGCTAACAAGGACCACTACA